CTTCATAGGCGTGATTTTTACTGACAGCTGTCGCAGAGATCAAGCTATCTTTTATGAACCATAGGGATGATCGATGTTGACATCAATATTGAAATCGATAGCTTAACATCAATGGTCGGTGTTTAACCTACTCAAAACATCGATGTTGGCCTTTATCGATGTTATTGCTCATCTATTTTTATACGTTAAAATTAGGTGAACAAAACATTAGTAGTGTTGTTTATGGTTTATTATGAATGAAATGAAAGAAATTTATAAAACATTTAGTAAACAGTAATTAAAAAAAAATGGGAAAAACTTAAAAAATATTTAGTTCATTCGTTATATTTTTTGCCGATAATGATGAATGTTATCATTATGATTTTTAAATGATCCTATACGATCACAAATATGGTATGAAAAAAACTACTGTATGACCTAATTTACGATTTAGACGTCGGTTTTATATTAACTACTCCTTCTGTCGCGAAACAAAAAACATGATTATAGAGGGACAATTAACAAACTTCACAAAAACAAAATATTAGACTTTTCCTTCACTTTTGTTCACAATTTTTAATCAGGCAGCCCAAGCAATAAATATACACAGTCGTTTATAAAATGCAATGTAGAATACACTATGCAGTGAAGTTATCTGTGCTCACGATCGCCCAGTGATTTATTTTTATAAACTTCAAGCAAATAATAAACTCTGACACTGAATTGTGTAGATACATATTGTTTCAAAGTTGTGTATGGACAGCAAGGGAAAAAACAGTTAATTTGAATATCAATTTATGTAGAATAGTTATCAGGCGACAACCGACAACGACACTACAGAATAACAAAGCGAAAGCAGTGACTACTGTGACATTACAGTTCACACTTAATTGGGAGCTTGACACAACATAATGATATTTTTTAGGTGATCGATGCATTTAGGAATCCTGAATTATTCTAAATTTTAAACTTTTAATAGGAGATGAAATATTTAGTTCACAAATTTTTATTAATCGATTATTGGTTCATTGACATCGATGTTTGACATGTGGCAACATCGATGTTTCAATATTAAACATGTATCGATGTTTCAACATAGATGTTAAAACATCGATATTTTAATTTCTAACATCGATGATCATCGAACATCCCTAGTTTGCACTCTGCGTATCATAGCATATAATTATATTATTAAAACATAAAAATAATTTGATCTTTTGTTTGTTGTGGTTTATTGTTTCCATCTTGGTGTATATAGGTACTCTTTGGTTATTCCTTATTTCATTCTATTGTTGTTTTCATTTCATGCAATTTTATGATCACTCCTAATTGATAACCATACGTGTTTATTTAAAAATGAGATCTCTAAACGGATAAGTTCGGAATTTATGTATAATGGCAGACTCCGGAGTTGACACCAGTAATGAAAGTAGTGATAATCAAAACATAGATCACACTCCATGCATTATAGAATTCAATCCATTGGCCAATTCTCTTGACGTGTCGGGAAGTAGACGCATAGCGAAGGACTTTTTCGGCGAACGTCACGATTTAATCGGTAAAATAAAATGCACTACCAAGGCTAGACATTGCAGAATTAAATACAGATATGGTGGTTCAATTTGCTCATCAAGAAATCAGAAGCTACGTTTCGCTGCATCTACAAATAACTCTGAACTTGTAGAAAAACTCCTTCTATCTGGCGCTGACCCCAATTCATCTGATGAACATAAAAGAAGTCCACTGCATTTAGCAGCATGCCGTGGATATGTTGATGTCGTAAGAATACTTTTAAATCATGGAGCTAACCCAAATATAAAGGATACCCTCGGGAACACTCCTCTGCATCTTGCTGCTTGTACAAATCATATACCAGTTGTCATAGAGTTGTTGGATGCAGGAACTGATGTTAGTTCTAATGATAAGAATGGCCGTAATCCAATTCAGTTAGCACAAAGCAAATTAAAACTGATTCAAATGCGTCCAAGTGGTGCAGGTAATTATGAAGAAACGAGGCAGCTCATCAGTGAAATATGCTTAGTTGTTGAGATGATGTTAAAATACATGAAAATTCAAAAAGCTGATTCTGCAGATCTAGAATCTGTCCGTGAGAGATTAGAGCATGTCAGTACAAGAGAACAAGTAGAATCAGAGGTGCAAAATTTACTTGACAGCCTAGACTCTTTGAAATTGAGATAATAAGTTACATGCTCTTTTAATTTACCTATATCTGAAAAATAGGCTCTTTAAATAGTTTATTATAATTTCACTGTTCTATATGTTTACATAGTGGTAATTAATTTCACATATGGGGGAAATTAATTACCACTCAAAGTTGGGGAAATTAATTACAATCATGCTTGTTGATAAATATAAGCATGAAATATTTGTCTTTACTCAAACCCTGTTCACTTTAGTATAAGACTTTTGTAAATAAAAATTTACCATACAATACAATAATCTTTTTAAACAACTGAATAAAATATACAAACAAAAAGAAAGCAAAAGGCAGTATTGCTTCTATGCTGCAATTCCTTTCAGATAACTTTGATTTTACATTATCAGGAAAATACTACTGCACTCCAGTTTTTTTTTGAGCTCAAACAATACTTTGATCTAAAATATAAACTTTATAGATTTGAAATTACAAACCAGTTAACATAAAAGGGTTATAAAAAGAAGGTGTAAAAATTTGAGGGAAAAAAATGTTCGTTTTTTCAAGAAATTTATTTTATGAGCATATCTAATAGACATTGTTAAGTTCTTCTAAAGCTTTACTCCCAAGAAATGTAAAGCAAATTTTCGAAAAAAATGAGAAAGAGAGAAATGTTTTCGATGGAATGAAGAAAATTTTACATAAGGCTGAAAAGTTGATAACTTAAATACAACAGTAGAGAGCTTAAAAATAAAAGACTAAAGGTTGATTGGGAGCCACATAGTACAATAATTTTAGTGCAGGTAGAAGCTATTTACATAAAACTTGATGCTAAAATGAACAGAGTATAAGTTAAAAGATGTAAGAGTAAATGTATGATGTATATCTATAATTATAATAAATAAATATCTTTGATTTTAAAGGAATGTTATTTAAAACCAAACACAGCTTTACATATTATATTATTTATTAGTAACAATTGCGTAAACTTCAAACTTTTAAATTTATTGACAATGGAATGCCTTTAATACTTAAAATTAAGAACATAATATTGAACATACTAAACATTTGTTTGAACCCAGCAACATATGTACATACTTTATGTCAGGTTTGAAACTACAGTAGGATCTTGCTAATCTGGCACATCCCATCAAGTTTTTGAGATTTTGTCAACACAATCACTATGAAACTGAATGTTCTCCGTCCTGTGCAGATTGCCTAAACTTACACTAACTACATTTGACATACTGTTTCAGCAAATACAGTAAAATAGTTGTTAAAAATTAAGAGTGCATGTTGGTGACATAAACAAAGCCGGATTCCATTTTACAGATTATCTTTTATACTTTCTAATTTATATGCTGGTAGTTGCTGTTGATGGATTATTTTAATGTTAAGGTAGATGAAACGGCATTATTGACTGCTTAAAAGCTTGTTATCTTAAGAAGCACTGATATTTATATAAAAAAATATGTATTTTTTTCTGTTTACTTTAATGAGACCTGCATAAAAAACTGTTGAATTTTTATCTAAACTGATCGCAAATTATGTTTCTGATTTACTTAATGAAATTAATATAAAAAATATCTTATATATTTATCTAAATTAGTTGAAAATTATAAAGTATGCTGCAACACAGGAAAGAAATATAGTATAAGGATTCATTCACTCTATAAAAGGGAATCCTAAAAACCAGACTATGAAGTTAATTTACTTCTTTTATTGCTCGGAAACAGTTAATTTGAACTTATATTCATAGATTTCAATTATCATAATTCTCCACTTGTACAAAATACTTATGCCTTCATTAGTGCCGATCAACACTATTCTACTGTACATTCTTCTGATTTAAATAACAAATAAAATCCCTATATTGAGTGTTCAACATTTTTTGTGCCTACCTTCTTACTATGATTTCTATTTGTGTACTTGAAAAAAATATCTCATTATTTTAATACAAAACATACATATTTTATTGAAAAAAATATGAAAACATATTGTAAATTTCTTAATATAAAACATTATTATCAACAATAATAGATAAAATAATATTAAAAGCATGCAACTGGGGTTTTAGCAACACTAGGCAAATAAACCATGATATTATGGCAAAAATAGGTATGTATTATCAGTATCACAGAAACATTAAAATATATCCTTAACAAATTAATACTGCTAAATATATTAAGTAGGATCACATACCCTAAACCCATTCAAAAATATCTAACTAAATTGATGCATCTATACATCAAAACAGTGTATTAAATTAGCAAGAACTGTTATTAATATTTTCTAAACATAGTATATTTAATAACTGCCACAACTTTATTGATTTCATTTTCCATTTCACATTAATTTATAGCTGTCAGCTATTATTGCACAGAATTATGTTCTGTAGTTTCTAAGACATTAAAAGACTAAAAATAATTTATTCTATGAAAATTGAAAACAGCTGAATCTAAAATTTAAATACTTAAAATGATCAATTCCTTGGCAACACTTGAAGGAGTAAGTAATTTTTAGAGTGCAATAAAATTTGGCACTATTTGTTTAAAAATCTTGATATATTTGACTAGTAACTAGATGTGATTTTTCAACAACTTAAAATAAAATATCACAAGTATAACTTATACCAAGCCATAAATAACTTATTTAAACATAAATCACAACATTAATGGAATGGTTCATACAATTGTACATTAATAAAACTTGATATAGTACACGACGTTAAAACAAGCTTAGATAGAGCAACGACCTGTTAAATTTTATTAATGTCTTTTATTGCTCTCATACATAGGCTCGGTTAAGTGGCAGGTAATTATCAGTCATTGAGGAATGTTCTTATATGTTAACTGGTATCTTAATATTATTTTGTATCTGGTACTAAAAGGTGAACTATATTTGGGAAGATTTCTGCTTGAATTGGACCATACTCAACAAGTTCACCATCAACAGTCATGTAACCATTAGATCCTTCAGGAATTATTCTAAATGCACTCACAGGAATCATCTTGATATGCTCATTGTTAATGTCTGCGTGATTGCCTTCACCCATGCCAATCAGAAAAGATAAAATCTGAGATCTTGTGATACCTGCTTTGATAATAAGCATCCACATGACTCCATCGGACATTTGCGAGCGTGGTGCGAATAGTAAATCTTCTCCAATATATGCCTGGTATGAGACGTGAACCATAACGAATTCGCCTTCTTCATGTACCCAATGTGAAGGCAACTGAGACATTAAGGATGGTAGGTGTGATGCCGGACCGTGCATACATGCGTGAACGGGTGATCGCATTTCCGAGCCCCCACTAGTTACACTGTGGTACTCAGAGCCTCTTGTACTATAAAATGCACTCCTTCTAGAGTTTACAGAGTACCATGAATCGACCCTTTGATATTGTTTACCGTTCAAAGCATTAGTGAACACTTCTGAATGCTCATCACAGTCAATGAAAGCTTCCGCGTCGGGGGAATCAAGCGCACCATCCTGGCTAACGCTATGGCTGAGAGTCACCGGTAATTTTGGCTTGGGAAGATTGGTCACATCCTTGATCCTAGCGTAACTGACTACACCTTTGTACTTTCTCAGTCCGACTAATCTTGCTAGTGCCCATATCGCGAACCTCTGTCCACCAATCGCTCGTATTCGTTCGCTTTCAACATCGATATCAGAAAGTAAGCCCCATCCGACCGATAGGAATGAAAACATAATCTGAAATAATATAAATTAATTAACATACAAGCCCAAAATCAATGTGTTATAACACTATTTGCATTTTGACAGGATGTTAAACAAGTCTTAAATAAATAGGCGTCATTCTAGTGGTAATCGCATTTATTTAACGTAACAATTTGTAAGACTTGTCCGCTTCAACTCTCCGTGTTTTTTTAATATGACGGACATGTTCAATTGAATAATGCATCATTATCTCTGCTGAAGATAAAAACATTAGTGTTCTTAGACTTACATACCTAATTATATAAATTTCCAGCAAAATAATGGGATTGAATTTGTTAGATATATCAATAAAAATCTACCTTTCTCGCGGTACAACTTCATATTTTCCACCACGCACGCTTTATTTCACAAAGGCTGACAAGCTGATGAAAGACACTGCAATAAACAGTCCGGTGATGGGAAGTAGTATCAAAGGTGCGAAACTAGGAGTAGCGATCTGATGATGAAGGGTTATTCCCTACTATGATAAGTGATCTGTAATTGACAGATTTATACGTAAAAAGTCACGCTGCAGCTTTATTATGACAGTTGCTCGTTTGTGTTCGTGCGACCGAAGAAGCTGCACGATCTCACAGTATTAGAAATGTCTATATGTGTTACAGCATCCACTTGCTCCATAAGGTTAACTGTTTTATTATTAATATTAATAATTTTTAAATAATTTCTTCGGTTTTTCGTAATCATCGTCATTGCTATCTATGCACAGCACATCATAAGTCCAGTGCTGGACATAGACCTCTCCCAAAGATTGCTTTATAGGGTGATATTTGCCATAGATGTCGTCAAGCTTGGCATTTTGTACTATTATTATTATAAGTACCATTAATGCTCCTTTTAGGGTTTTAAGATGTGGCATCGGCTGATCGCAAAATCCTGCTTTTTTTATTAAATTAAGATTTTTGTTACGATTATTATTATTACTGGTATTATAAATAAGATGCTGAAAACGTCTCCTATTCCAGTTTCTCTCAATCGCCTTTTCGACACCCTAAGATGATATTTAAGAATTAGAAGGACCTGTGTTAAAAATTAAACCATTCTAACCAATTTAAAAAAAAAAAACTAATGAACAAGTGGTAAAATTAAAAATTTTGTACAACCAACTTCATATAAATAAAATGAGAACATCATTAATGTAGTCAATTAAATACGCATTATTAAGGATAACTCAATGACTAATGGTCAGATCTTGATGAAATTTATATGGGACAAAAATACAATCTAATTGAGAACCTCCTCCTTTTTTGAAGTCGGTTGACAACATTGTGTCTGATTAAATTTCTTGCAAAGAAACAAATTAGTTTTAAGAGTTTTGTGATAAAAACGAAACACTAAATGTATAAGTAGAGTATAGCTTACACTTAACCGGTTTATATTTTATCGTGTAAGAACTCTATCTTCATAATGTGAAAACTTTACATGCAGTATATCTGGCAATTTGCTTTCTATGGTTCCATTTCTATACTTACATTACTTTTCGTTTCGACTCTGACTACGTCCAATGGTGCAGTTTTGCCTCTCGCTAAACTCACAGAAATACCGGTTAGGTTCTGACGAATATAGGGCTCACTGAAACAATTACAAAGTAAATTAATGGTAATGAAGAAAATAGAAACGTTAGTGACCTACTCCCAGTTAATTTAAAGGTTAATCTATGAACAATAGTAGCGCATGTAGTAAGACTTGGTACCGTTTATCAAATTAATACCGGCTACTGAGAGAATTTAAACATTTCTTTTAATCAACAGTTATTGTTGACATCACCAAAATTAAATTACTACATACACGTTGCGCCGTTATTTCTCGGAAACTGCTGTACCATTTAAATTATTTTTTTTAATAAATATACATTCTCTATTAACTATAATTATTTATACTTCATTAATTTTAAGAAAATATTTCATCCCTGAGGGTGGAAAAGCAAGAGAAATGATTTTTAATGAACATTCCAGTTTACCTTCAACTTTGTTCCTTACTTTACTCAAAAGGGTAAAAGTGACTTCAAGAACTAAAAAAAATATTTACACGTAATAGCTTCTGAAGATGGGGCGGGGCTATAATTCTTCGTTAACATATGCTTTAACACCGATTTTCAAAAACTATGAAGTCGATTTTTATTTTTTTTAGTTTAAGGGGAAATATAACCTCAAATGGCTTAGCAAAATCCTCCGTTATGCCGAAAATATTGCAGCATTAATTTTGAAATAAATATATGGTAAAGTTGATTAATGTTAAGGATTATGTTAGACGAAAACACGATTCCGTAAAATTTTCTCGATAGAAAAAATCTAGTTACCTCCAAAATAAACAATAAACCGCTGTTATTCATAAAATACTTTAAATAAGATCATGAAACTTTGCATACTAACTGAACTAATTATAACGCAGTGCTTATGTTATTTACTTTTTTTTAAATACCATTATTTTGACTGTAAAAAGAAATTACCTAAACTATCGGCCTCTTGAAGCGTGAATCCTTGTGCCGCTTACGATCAGAATACACATTACGCAACAGGACGACGTAAAATTAAAATGGGAAATAACCGTAATAAAAATAAGAAGCGACTGGCTTGGCGTTAAGAAACAGGCATAAATATGATAAACCTAATGAAATAAGTGTCTAACGACCTATCTACTTACAGTATTAGTGATTACAAACATGTCGGTGTACATAGCATACGACGCGCGGGGAAGTGGGGGCGAAATTAGAATTTGACCCCCACTTCCCCTTAATATTAAGTCTTTAAAACTATACAGATAAAATTATTATTTGATCTCAAATTCCATGAAGTCACGCTCACGCTATATTTTCATACTGACAGGCCTCTGTCAGTCTTATTACATGAGTGAAATATTTACCTATAATCGCACAGGAACTCAGGTTACATACGCAGTCGAGTTTAGCGCGTTTTAGACGAGTGAATTTTAATACAAAACAAACATCATTAGGTGAAGGGTATCGCAAGTCAAATTTTGTAATAAATTACGTTAACTTAGATATTATAACTAATGATTGCTAATGATTGTAATTCTAGATAAACTAAACTATGATAGCTACTAAAACTATGTTTTATCAAAATGCACTTTCACCTGGTATTGTGGTTTTGTATAAACAAACGTTGGTGATAGGTACTTACATTGATGTTTTAACATTCCTCAACTCAGCAGAACAAAAATTGCGATTGCATGCAAAAAGTTTTGCCTCGTAACTTAGATCAACAGATAGATAGATTAAATCAACAGATTTTGAGCTAAGCTACAACATAAAGTTTACAGCTGTATGTTTATTACTTTAAGAGTTATTCTTGTTTGAACATAAGCGTAGGCGTAAGCACAAAGGACCTTTGTCGAAACCCTAAACAGGAAAACATTAACTTAAGTTACTTATTAATTTTTATTTAATTGTTATACAAAATTAACTTACAACTAAAATATCTTGAGGAGTTACACCAAGTGGCCACGTCCAGCTTGTAGGCAACCTATATCTTGATGAGCGCCTAATCATTTGTAAATTAGATTTTATTTCTTCGGCAATTGACATTATTTTTGTGATGAATTCTTCCCTAGTGTTTAGAACTGTGGCGAACACCCTTTGCTTCTTATGACCTCACAAAAAATAATCCAAGGGTGTCTAAACGGGTGAGCGCACAGATTATCCCTTTAGGGGGTAATCTGTGGGTGAGCGAGATGGCCGCGCTACTAGACCACCGCGACCGATCAACGGGGAATAGTTGTTATTTAAGTAATCTCTCACTGCTCGAGAAAAGTGCAGAGGTACACCATCAAGCTGGACCCACATACGTTGATGGTACTACAAAGGTAGGTAGGAACTCCAGAAATCTAGTGCCTTTTAATGTAGGAGGTAATTCCAACGACGTTATGATTTTTTTTATAATTATAACGGGATTAGTATGGGCCGCGTAAACCTGGTTTCCAAAAAATCGTTTAATGATGCAAAGCGGGATAAGCAAAACTGTGACGCCGCGTCGCGTCGGTGATATTAAACGTAAACTTTATTTGTGTGTTATGGTCTGGACTGTATTGCCTAGAGAACACAACCGCAATTTGCTTCTTAATAGAGGATAGCCGTAAATGTCTATGGACCACAACCACACCATCCACTGTGGACACGCGTGGACTGTATGCTGGTCTGTCATCTTTATTCTAAAAAAAATCATGCTATTGTATGTCTTTTGTAACACGTACATGATAATATGTTCGAATTACAAAAGTTTATACCAGAGTTAATTTTACGAAATTTACAAGTAATAATAAGAAATGAGTCATATTTAGTACGCTATAAGGTTTTAAAATGTACACAATGTTCATCGACGAGACAAAGGTTTATTTTTTGATTTATGCAGAAAAAATCAACTAACTATAATTTCGCTATAACCTACGTGTGCTTTGTGTAAAATTCATGAAACACAATTTTATAGATCCGTGTATCATGTTCGTGTTAGGTTTTTTGAATGATGTGAGAATAATTCAGAGCACTTCTGTGGTTATAGCGAAATAATTTAGCAAATGCCACAAGAAAATACTATTACAAAATATATGAATTCATAAAAACTTATTGAACGATATTAATTTATTTTGTAATTTTGTTTGGCATCAAATAAATCTAGTATTTACTTACATTATATTTACATAAGTATGAAAAGAAATTTCAAAACATTATTTGCGCATTGACCGTTACCTAGTACCCTAGTAGGTAGCTAGTACTTTTCAAGACTTAGTTGATATAATGTGTATGATTTGATATGAAATATTTGAATTATTTGTGTTTTTTTTTATAGGACAGCGTGACAAACGAGCACACAGTCCACCTGATGGTAAGTGATTGCTGTGGCCCATAGACATCTACATCTATCCTCGATTACGAATGAAAATGCAAATGCGTTGTTACCCGTGAGGACTAAGATGGAATGCCCCGTTGCCAGTAAAAGGGGTCTCCGGTTCTCTACACTCACCATATGAAACACAGCAGCATTAAGGTACTATTTGACGCTGGTATTCTGTGAGAGCGTGGTCCTTCCCAGGTCGAGCCGACCCATTCGTGCTACAACTATACTACTAATATAACTGCAACATGGCTCTACCACGTATAGTGTAATAAAACAACGTTCATTCTATTGCCGATATAGGTATTTAATTATAACAAAATATGTTATCTATTCCTGATAGAAATCTTATTCTAAAAAATAGAGAGCCATTAGGCATAATCTTCAGCTATTATTTTGTGACGTAACCATAGGACTAGGAGACGGCAATAGGAAATTCAAGAAAGTTTTTATAACTTCCGGTAGATGGCGGTTTTATCATCTTGTATATTTACGACAGAAAATACCCAGGCATGGAAAAAAAAATAAGTTGGACTTCCGCTCTTTCAAAACCCTGGGCACACTACTGGATCTGAGACTAGGTTTTTCAACCCCAGGTCACTCAGCGAGCTATGGAGAGCGCTATGCTCGAAGTTTCTCTGCGTAGCGACTTCCAAATGAGGATATCCGCAGTAGAACTAGAGTAGTAACCGACATAGCCCAGACCCCAGATATCCTCATATTTAATCAATATTCTAATCCCAACGCTTTAGATGTTTAAAAATGCCGATTTAAGTATAGTGATTGTGCCTTTAATACCCAGAAAACTATAGGTACTAAGTAATACACAATTTATCGTGTATTATTTAGAATTATTGAGATATTTATACCATTATAATAATACCGTCCAAAACGCTAAAGGGCGTATTTTTATTTTCTTGTACCATAGTTTATCAAAATAAAACTGCAATAAAATATATGCTTTTTTTTTCTAATCATAAATATATTTATTAACTGAATATCTATATGTGTTTAAAGTTGATACCATATCTTTTTAAATAAAAAATAGTTTAATGCGCTAGTTCTGATAAAGGCTCCATTGAGTTACGAAAAATTAATAGAATTTTTATAAATTAAATAGGCCGGTAATTATAAAATAACATTTATTTCGAACAGAATCAGTCACTGCTACAATTATCTATTAAATATTAAACATTTAAACACAACTTGAGCAATGAAAATCTTTAAATGCTCTCCTTCGAGTTACAGTTGGTCATAAACCTACACTTTCTTTTTGCTGCTAACGTATTAATGACAAATTAGACAATAAAATCTAACACAATGTAAAATAAAGAAAAAAAATATTTATTTGGTAACAAAATGGCACGTAAATTAAAGAACTTAATGAAATATCTTTAATTTCTTAACACTAGATTTGGTAGATATCACTCAATGGAATTACGAAATATAACTAAATGGAACAAGTAAAGCTTTGCTCACAAGAAACAATTTTTACCTAATAATATTCTGTTTAACAGGAAGCTACTCTAACTACGAGTCTATAAAAATCATAAAATTAATAAATAACTATTTGGTACAGTAACTGAAGTATTATTAATTATCCAAAACAAATAATTAAGACGGTTCACGCGTGTCGTCATTTCATACAAATTTTCAAGTTCTTATTCTTCGATGTTTATGAACCGATTTTAATGAAACTTGGTATACATACGCTTCAGAGCCAGG